AGAGCTCTGGTTAGCATGGTGACCAAGAACCTGATGGTCACTCTAGTTGAGCTCCATGATCATATGTGGAGACAAACATCGCTGCAACACTCCACCAATCCAGTCGTTATGGCGGTGTGGCCAAACTCAATCCTCTCCTCAGTTAAGACACATGAAAACACACTTGGAAAGACTTGAGGCTGTTAAGGTGCTTCAGCTAAATAGTTAGTTAAGGGTATGAATACTTATGCAATGTACTTATTTCAGTTTTTTATTTTTAATAAATTTATAATAATAAATATAAATATATAATAAATATAATAATAATAAGTTGTGACAATTCTGTTTTTGCTTTGTCAGTATGGTATATGGAGTGTAGATTGATGTGGAAAAAAAGTAATTTAAAGAAGTTTATCATAAGGCAGCAACATAAAATGTAAAAAAAAGAGGCACTGTAGTTGCAGCCGACGATAGATGCACAGATGTTCAAATGATACAGAACGCATAATTTCCAAGATGAAAAATTGTCAGCTTTATTATGAACAACATTCCAGAGTTTAACAAGTGAAATACCTGCTAGAATTATTTGTATTTTTATACGTTTATTTACACGTATATCTGAGATTTGAATGCTGACTACTCTTCAGAAATCAACAACATCTATTTTTTATCGACTAATTTGAGTAAACATCTGTTCTGATATGATTCAGATCATAACTTATTACATACTAAATCAGATGATGTCGAATGTAAAATCAGAGGGTTGGGTTTTGGAGGCAGTGCAGACTACCAGGGCTTAGTTTACGTTTTTTTTTCTCTCTTGAGCCTGACAGGAATAGAGGGACTGTTTTCCTCTGCTGTGCATCTATTATGGCAATGTCAAAAATATTATGTACAAATTTAAAATGATACAGAATAATACATTTAAATCTTTAGTTACAAGTACAGTTATGAGCATTGTGACAATTGTGGTACTGCACAACTTGCCGTCATTGCGATACTATTTGTTGGAAAAGTGCAGAATACTTTGTACAGAACATTGAACGGGTTGACAGAACTGAAAGAAAATAATAAATGTGCCACACCTAATAGCTGTAAAAATAAGACACTTAGGGGGAAAAAAAACTTCCCAAAAATAAAATCTCAGTAAAAGAAAATATACACAGTGTGCAAATGACTTGGCATAGACCGACAGGGAAAAAAGGGAGAGCCCCATTTAAAAACAGTCCAGGTGCGCGTAATGGAGCATGTTGATGAGAAAGGATGACGTTGACATCCATACACATCCACACGTAATTCACTGACAAGTTTCCTCTCTATACAACACAATCTTTTTTTAAATTATTCGCAATATAATATATTTTCTTGAACTTCCTTTTTTCTGTAGTTAGTTTTTTTGTTGTTGCCCATATCGACTATGGGAGGTGAAATAACACCATTTTTCGCAGTGTGCATTTTAAGTCCTCAACTGTACGGCGGCAGGGGAACGGGGCGGGACTTCCTGTTCTGACTGACCAACAGTAGCTTAGCAGGAGGTTGCGTGGCATGTCTTGGCATGCTTTCCCAGAGTAGGCTGGTGAAACTGAATGGTGAATGTGAGTAGTGGTTTATTCCGAGGTGTTGAGGGGGCTTGGCTTTACCGGGTCGAGGAGAGCACATGACCCGGCACCCAGCCCTCTGCAGCAGGCGATTGGCTGTTTGCAGGTCGGTAAACCAGGCACATGTTCTGCTGATTGGACGCCAGGATCTGTACCTTCTCACCAACCACCACGCAGATCTCGTCCTCCTTCACGGCGTTGTAATCCTGCGTCACTAGCACCGATGACAGGCCATTACACTCCCCCTCGTCCAGCTCCTGGAAACACAAAAATGAAACACAAAAACACGAGACTAAACATTCTGATCAAGAATCTACAAATTAATTGAGCTGGGTTGAAAAATATCGATTTGAGCCCAATCTCATTTTGATGACCCAATATTGATTATTAAATACAAAGAATCAATCTTTTGCGGTCTATGCTGTTTTTAGTTGATGCATGAATAAAACTTAACCAAAGATTAATATTGTAGCCCACCTCCCATCCAATAAATCTCAATAGGCTTTGTGATTTCTTACTTTTGACATAAAACAAAGTGTCAGCTTTCAAATTTTGTCAATTTTATTATGAAATTCAAACAATAAATGCAGTTTTGGTGCACTATAAAGTGGTGACAGATTGCTGGGCACGTGAACCAATCATTGCCTCCTCTTTACTATTAGTTGCAGCATGAAATAAACATGAATGAACACCAGAAGGTATGCTGAAAGACACAGTAGAACTTACTGAAATGTATCATGTTTCCTGTAATCTATTAATCAGTTTTAACTGAAAAAGATGTCAATTAAACGGCTTTTAAGCAATATGTAATGTTACATTTACCTCAGAAATGCCAGTGTCCATACTTAACTAGAAAAATTTACTCTAAAAAGAGCATTTTGCTCAATATGCACTATATATTACATATTAATTTAACCTGTCCTTCAATATTTCATGTATATTTATATAAATTCATAATAAAAATAAGCTTTTATGCCAACCAACCTGTTTATATTTTAAAAAACTTAAATTTTTATAAAAAAAAATTAATTGGAGTAGAGACGTGATTCAAAATTTATTATAGACACTTATATGCTTTATGTGCAGTTTATGTGCAGTTGTTAATTTTAACACTGAGTGTTATAGATTACAGTAATTTACCACCCGACAAAGTTCTGTGTATAGTTTACTGCTTTACAGTTTTTTTCTTGAGAACTTTACCATATATTCAATTTGATTTATTTTGACTAGAAATATCTCCAAATGAATCAAATCAAGATCAAAGTAGAATCGAATTGCAAGCTCGTGAACTGAAATAAAATTAAATACTTTAACGTATGTCCTTCAATCATATGGTCGAACACTTCGGACAAATCAGGACAAAGCTTCACATAGACACAAGTCTGTTCCTCACTGTCAACCTTGACCTGGCATGAGAAATAAATAGCTGGCTGAAAAGCTTAGACATTTAAAAATAAAAAGTAGCAAGCGGCTCCTTCAGTCTGGTATTCAGTGACAGTGTGATTTATTAGGGACACAGAAAAAAGCAGAGTGTGCCAAGGCCAAGATACAAGCTCACCAGAGAGAGAGACTGCAGCGAGAAGAAAGAGAACAAGGAAGACAGAAAGCGAGAACGAAACAGAAGAAAGAGACCCTACTGAGAGGAGAAACAGGTACAGAACACGGGCAGAGCTGGAAAACTAGGCCATTCTCCCCACTAAGAATAACTAGCAGCACCTCTCCTCCCCTCAAAGACAATTAGAGTGGAACTTCACAGCACTGCAGCACAGACACATCCAGTTCATCCAGGAGACGCAAGCACAGACTGCAGCGACTAGTGTAGTGTGAACTAATTACGTTTAAATACATCTATCTGGCCTGGATGAGACACTAATTAAAATGGTCTGGATAACTAATTGATTTAGTTAGATTACACAATGCTGTTTAAACAGCACAGAATGCTATTGAGATAATTGGTCTCCTGTCACACAGGCTGATTAGGGTGTTTTCACTCCAGAGCTTTTGCTGTGGACATCAGTTACACGTCACAGTTCAGTTGTGAGAAAGATGGTCTTTTTCATGCTAAAGACCCCAAAATATGATAAGCCCCCTAATATATATATATAAAGGCAGAGTTACACTACCATTCAAAAGTTTAAGATCAGTAAAATCGTATTTTTTTATTTAAATATTAATTATTTTATTCAGCAAGAATGCATTAAATTGATCAGATATAACAGTAAATACATATATTGTCACAAAAAATTATAATTTAAACACGTGCTATTCTTTCTATTCATCAAAGAATCCAGAACAAATAAATGTTCATTTTCAACAAAAATATTAAGCAGCCAATTGTTTTCATTGCTGAAAATAGTAATAATAATAATACATTTTCATTACCAAATCAGCAATTTAAAAATATTTCATGTGACTCTGACGACTGCATTAATGGCTGATGACAATTTAGCTTTGCATCACAGGAATAAATTAAATTTTAAACACTATTACAACGGGAAACAGATATTTTAAATTGCAATAATATTTCACAACATGAATGTTTTTATTGTATTTTTGATCAAATAAATGCAGTCTTGAGCATAAGAGGCTTCTTTAAAAAAACGACCCCCAGCCTTTTCAACGGTAAATATTTTCCTGGCATAAAAGCCCATTTATAACTGTGAAAAAATAAATAAATACAAACTTAAAAAGGAATTTGTGATTACTTTCATGATTTCTGACCAGTGTTTAGAAAGCAGAATGAAACTGTAAAATTTGGTATATTTAAACTTATTTTATTTATTTAAATACTATTTATTAGTTTTTTTTCATCGATTCCTTTCATCATGATGGAATTTACCCACAATCAGATCAATTCAAGCTTGAAGTACCAAGTTCAATAATATGGACATAAAACAATATAATATCTAAAGCAAAATTCTATATTTTCATCTGCCACATTAATGCAATGTCTTGTCTTCAGTTGGAGCCTTCAGCAATTATTAATATGTGATCACTTTGATTAATAAATTGTTATCTTAAGTAATCTTTTTTTATAAAATGTATAAAATATTGCAAACTGATTGACAGTCATAGTTATTAATTAATGTGAGATTTATGTAATGTTTTGAATCATGCTCACCTCCTCTACATGCTTATTGGGGTTGTGGGCGGGGCTTCCATTGGGGGTGGTGTTGGGTTTGAGGGGGGTGGAGGGGTGAGAGGATGAGGAACGGCTGCTATTGGACAGCTGCCTGCTCAAAGAACCTCCACTCTCTTTCTTCTGGTACTCCTGTGGGTTCTGGAGAGCTGATCAGAAACAGATGAGCAGCAGGTTATGAATGATCTCATGAACAAAAATGAGTGTAATTAAATAAACAGCACTGAGATCTGTTTGTGTATGATGATGATGATGACCAACTGCCATCTTCCTTAACCCTTTCATATTGCGCTTACCTGTGAGGAAGTTGATCTGCATGTTCAGCAGTTCTTGGATGCTTTGGACCCACTCTTTCTTGATGTCGATGTTAGCGGCCTGAAGCGTCAGTCGTTCAGATGAGCCGCGACATGACAACACAAACTTACAGGGGTCGCTCTCCACATGTTCCTCCATGCTCAGGTAGCTCACCTGCACACAAGAGGTTAATAAAAAAAGTTGGGTATTTGGTGTTTTTTATTGAACTTGAATCAACTTGTGCTAAATATACCTTGATGCTCTTTTTAAACTGGTACCCTGGTGTTGACGAGCCTTTCCGAAGCAGCTCGCTGAAGATGACGATCTGTTCAAAGAGGAACACTCTGCGCTCTTTACTGCGGGACAGAACGCCAGAGTCCTGCTCTGTCACGAAGAACGTGTCCTGCTGCAATAACTTTCCCTGAGCTGTCAACTTCCCCTGTGCAAAGAAACATAAGCAATCATTAAGCACTTATACATACAGTACATTTGTACTTTTTCATCACCTGATATTTCAAGAAAGGCAAGGTTGTGTACTTTGGTTTCTGTGATTTTCCAGCACTGCCTGTGAATTTTTTGGAAGCAGATTTGGTTGTAGAATGGTGAAAAAATAAAAAAGGTAATTGCAACTTTTTATCTCACCATTGTAATGTAACTCACCTTTGTGACTACATATGTAATTGTAATAATTACAGTTAAATAACAATTTAATGTACCTCAAAAGAGATGAGTTTACCTCGTAGCCCTGCAATCGTCCAAGGTTCATCATGTCATTACATTGTTTGGGCACCAGGGACATCAGCTCAACTGCTTTCTGCAGGATAGAAATTACAGACCAGCAATGTCAAAACATGACAGGACACTAAAGATAGAAGTATATGTGGTGTAATTTATACATATTAATATAAAATTGCTTTAGTGACCTACCTCTATCTCTTTACAGTCCAGACCTGCTTTAGTGCTGTACTTCAAAAAGTCCTTCAAATAACAAATAAAACAAGACAAGAAACTTAAAATAGGATAATTATCTGACCATATAGCATTGTTATTGTTAACCAAAACTATATATAAAAATGTTAAAGTTAAAGATAAAGATGAAATTAAAAAATGTAAAAAATCTAACAAAAACAAATTTACAGTAAGTAAAATGAAAGTGGAAAATATCAAAATACAAATCTAATTCAAAATATTACCAAATAATGTAATGTTATATTAATGATACTAAAATAACACTGCCATACGTTACTACTACTACTACTAATAATATAAATACGAGCAGTAGAACCCATACAAAAATGTGTTTTGATATCGATTTTGGATTGAGTATCTGTTTTTGCTCAAATCTACCCCTCTTCTGCTATCTGTCTACCATTAAGAATGGAAGAGGGGTGACAGACTGAACTGGCATATTTCTTCAATTCCCTGTCAAAAAAATAAAAAATTAAAACAGGACCACCGTGCAAGCTGTAATAGACTGAACGAGGACAATGTTCAGACTGGCTTATGAATGCAGTTTTGTTCCTTCAGGGCTTGTTGTGCGCGCAGCTTTAGTGAGAAAAGGGTTTAAAATGTCATAAACACACACTGTTCTGACTCTTATTTTATTAGTCACTTAAGGAAAGAAGGACCACAAAAAATCCCTTGGTACAGAATAGCCATCTGCTAACACCGACCCGCTGAGAGACTTGTATGGGGGTACAGACTCCCTGATTCTCCAACGACTATGTAAATGAGGCTTGAAAACCACAAAGTGTGATGCTGACAATGTTTTCTGGGAGTTTTTAGTGTGTTGCCATGACATGGTTGCTCAGTCAAATGTCTCTTTGATGTTCTGTTCCGTATATACATAACCATTCAAAAGTAAGGCGTTTTTAAAAACAACTTAATGCTTTTATTCAGCAAGGACTGAGTAAAGACTTTAGCATTGTTACAAATAAATGCTGTCTTTGTATGCATCAAAGACAAAATGCATCACAGTCTCCACAAAAATTATTAAGCAGCACAACTGACATCAACACTGATAATAATAAGAAATGCTTCTCGAACAAATCAGCATATTAGAATGATTTATGGAGGATCATGTGACACTGAAGACTGGCGTAATGATGCTGAAAATTCAACTTTTGCATCACAGGAATAAATGTAATTTAAAATATATATATATATTAAAATAGAAAACAATTATTTTAAATTGCAATAATATTTAACAATATTACTGTTTTATTGCATTTTATTTATTTATTTAATGCATCAAATTAAAATCATACTGACCCCTTTCGAAAAGTGGTGTATGGTTTCAATGCAAATCTATGCTATTTTGGTAGCAACTATGTTAACCATGGTAAGTATTAAACTGTAAGTATATAATCACTGTGTAATTCAGTGGCTAATACCTTGAGCAGGAGCTGGTATTTGGTGATCCTCTGGATGGGTTTGATCAGGTAATCATTGATGGACAGTCTGGAGTTTACCCCCTGCTGCACCTCCTGACAGAAACACCAACAACATCATCAGACAGAGCACTTTACTTCAGAGGAGATATAACTGAGCTGCTCAAGAAACACTCACCTCGAAGAATCCATCATATTCAGCCACGACAAACTCTGAGCGGGGCTTGTTCTGACAGTAGATGACATACATGTGTAACCTTCTCTCCTTGATAACAGAGAAAACAACGGAATTAAGTTTACTACAACACACACACACACACACACACAGAGTTCATTTTGTTGAACTCACATGCTTGATAAACAGCTCAGCCAGTCTGTCGTGGTCCTGCAGACATTTTTCTAGTTCACAGAGGAAGAACCTTTAGAAATAAGAACAGAAAACATTTTGTCATGTGTATAAACTCCCCTCACTCAAACCAAATTAGATTGCCATCTGAAATTCAGTCCATTTCCTTCTTTAGCACGTGTCGTTGCTCATGTCAACCAGGAAATTTTATGCACAAGTTTTGCATGCTGATTATTTTGGTATCCAAAATGACAAACTGTTGCATGAAAATAGTGTGAAAGACTGCAGTGGCATTGTGGAGTCAATATACATTACCATTCAAAAGTTTGGGGTCTGTAAGATTTTTTAATGTTATTGAAAAATCTTTTATGTTCACCAAGGCTGCATTTGTTTAAAAAAAATACAGTAAAAACAGTGATATTGTGAAATATCGATATAATTGATTTTTTTTAAGAAAACAATTTAATACAAATAACTTTTTTTCTATTTTAATTTATTTTAAAATCTAATTTATTTCTGTTATGGCTGAATTTTCAGCATCATTACTCCAGTCTTTAGTGTCACATGATCCTTCAGAAATCATTGTAATGTACTGATTTGGTACTCAAAAAAACATCTCTTATTATCATAAATATTGAAAACAGTTGCGCTGCTTAATATTTTTGTGGAAACCGTGTTACATTCTTTTCCGGAATCAAAAGAGCAGCATTTATTTAAAATATAAATGTTACTTTAATTTTTGAACAATTTAATGCATCCTTGCTAAAAGTATGAAAAAATAAAAAACCTTACTGACCCCAAACTTTTTAATGGTTGTATACATAAAAATCTATATTTTTTGCTGTCCTGCAAAAATTATTTTTTGGACTTTTTAGTTCTTATTTAATGAGGATGTTAAATATTCTGTTAGTTCCTAATAAAAAGCAACAAGTTATTAGTGTTTGACCAGCTGTGAAAATCATTTCTAGTCTAGCATTAGGTTTAGTTCAAGAAAATATCTGAATTCCAATAGCTCTTTCTGACAGCATGAAAAAGAGATGTGGTTTACTCTTTATGCCAGTCGTAGATTTGATGAATGTTCCCGAATACGATCTTATCCTTCCCCGTCATGTCCTCTGGAACACCTTTTTCCCCAATCCTTCTCATAAAGCCCTAGGGATAAGGAGGAAAACAGACTTCATAATAAAGGTTCCTTAATAGTTCTTTGTGGCACTTATGAGTTCAGAAGAAGTCTTATCAATAACCATTTTGCATTGTGATTCCCTGGAGATTATAAAAATGTTCTCTATGTTCTTTGAATATGTAATTCTGTACAGTAATAACACTGTAACATACCTCCACTATGACACCCAGATCCTTCACATAGTCCCTCTCTGTCTGCACCATTTCATTTAACACAAACCTGTGGATAGGGGAGATACGAGAGATATATCAGAATACGCTAGAACATGCACATGTTCCAACTAGCACACTGAGATTTGAATCTTTATTTGTTGTTGAATTCATTTGTTCAGTCTTTCAGCAGTTTCTCTTCTTCTTCTCTTACATTCGCCCTCTCATGGCCTTGTTCTTCTGCTCTGTTTCTGGGTCTCTGGGCGTCTGATCAGACGGCGTGATGCTACCCAACACTGGGAAAGAGCCAGGCTCTGGAGTCTGAAAGAGAAAGTGAAAAGAAAGAGAGAGAGAGAGCGATAAGAATCAAAACTGAAAGGGAAAACACAAACAATAGGTACAAGGTGTTTAAGGAATAGCTAAAAATGTTGTCATCATTTATTCATCCTCATGTCATTTCAAACCTGTTTGACTTACTTTCTTCTGTGAACAAACATACAAACAGGTTTGGTGAACTGAATCAAATGATTCATTCAAAAGATCAGAAAAAACGTCATGGGTTGACTGAAGAAAGTGAAGGAACTGCAGGGGGTTTATGAGTTTATGAAAGGCTAATCATTAACTAAATCAAAATTGTAACATTAAAATAAATAGTTTTTAAAAATAAACACAATCAAGTAAAAAAGATGACATTTTATTGGTTTACCTTTATATCATGTGATTATTACCTGACATCAGAGAATTGTGAACGTAAATTTGTTGTTGAATTATTGAAATATTAACTTAAAGGGGTGGTTGACTGTTTTTTTTCTAGGCTTGATTGTGTTTATGGGGTGCAGTCTAACATGTGTTAATGCTTCATAAAAAAAAAAAAAACCCACATTATTTTTACATAATTTACCTTTATTCCACACCGCTCTATTCCTTCTCCTATAAACGCGCTGATCATTTCCTGCTTTTATGAAGCCCCTCCCTCAGAAATAGGCGATGGGCTCTGATTGGTTAGCTAGTCCAGTGTGTTGTGATTGGCTAAACCGCCTCTAGTGCACGTCTAAACGTCCCACCCCACACCTCAGCGGCATGTGCTCTGGTTGTATTGTAAACAATGGCGTAGTCTATATTGCTTATCAATTTGAGCTCGATTGAGACGCAGAGGATATTAATGAAGAGGATCACGCAGAACCTGTGCAAGCACGGCTCTTAATGGTATGTTACTTGTTTGTTGTTGTCTCATACTTTTAGATATGCTGTTATTTGTAAATGCTACTGCTTCTGTTAGCTTTTAATATACGGAGAACCGCTGCTTTAGAACATTGATTTTGAAACTTGTGAATCCATTAGAATCATTAGAAGACAGAATAGCAATGAATAGATTTTTACGTGCACCTCTAGTTTTCTCTTCCTCTTCTCTAAAGCAGGCCTTTAGCATGGCCTCGCCCCCTTTGTTGCGTGTTCCCGGGGGCGGGGTTTGTCTGGGTTTGTGATGTCACTAACCTGGGAAGTAACTCGTTGTAGTTCCTACGAGCCGTTTTTGTAGGCATTAAACTGCCAGAATTTTAAAAGATGATATCTCTGTTCGCATTGAACTTTCAGCGCCGCAACTTTGCAGATATTGCTTATGCTCAAACAGCAACATTACACGCTAACTAACGTTAAAAAAGTGAAATCGCAATCAACCACCCCTTTAAAATGTCAGTAATTACTAAATTATTTAGTTCTAACAGGTTCGGCTGACAAAAAGGTCAGATAACACCTAGTTTAGAACAATATAAAGATTGAAACAAAATTTCCATAAATTTTTTAGTGAACTATTCCTTTAACAAAAAGCATGAGGAATGCAGAGAAAAAAAAGGAACAGGACAAAACAACAATAAAAAATTAAAGCAAGTTTATGTTTCACCTTCTCCTCCTGAGCAGAGGGGTCCTTGATGATCTCCATGGGGGGAGGGAGGGGTGTGTGGGGTTCGTCTTCAGCCTCTTCCTCTCCTCCGCTGTTTACTCCTCGTCTTCCTCTCTTTGGAGAGACAGAGAAAAACGAGAGGAATCTATCATTCATAAACTCCAACAGTAGGCACACTCCTCATAAAACATGCACTTGTACAGGAAGCTCTTTTACATGCAAACGGTTGAGTAGAATAAAATATGTGATGTTAGGTGTGGTCCCAGATTAAGGAGAGTGCATTTCTCCGCGTTGTTTGGTATGTGGTATTGTTACAATGCTGGAATTTTGAAATGTTGCCATCGTATGCATCATGTTTCCTAAATGGTTAATGATTAATTGTTGTACCTCTTCAGTGCTGTCCTGGTGCGGCGGGCCCAATTCTACACTCTTCCGGCCGTCTCGTTTACGTTGTTTGTTGTTGGGTTTTTTGGCATTAGTGTTGTCGCCCTTGCCGTGGCTGAGACGTCGTACTGGGCTGGTGAGCCATTTTTTTAGTGTGTTTCCAGTAGTTCCAGAGCGTTTAGGTCCTGGAGAACCGGTCGGCAAAGAGGTCACCGATGTCTGCGGCTGCAGCGATGCGGCAGACTCAGATTTGACCTCTGAACTTCCCACAGGATAGTTTTCTGTTGAACAAAAACAACAAAAATTATTTAGAAATATTCAGAATAAAGAAATCTTACATTGGAAGTAACAGGCAACAAATAAAAGCAAACGATTCCAACAAACATAATTCTAGCCAGTGAGATTTTTAATTAAATTAATACTTTCATTCAGCAAGGATGCATGAAATTTATTAAAAGTTTATTAACTAGCTGAAATACAATAATATTTTATTTGTTATTATTATTAAGTAACAAAATGTATATTTAGTTTATTTTATAATACTAATATAATAACCATAAAAGTAGTTAAAAATATTTATGGTTTCCACACAAAAAAAAAAGCAGCAAATTACTGTACTGGACTGTACTAGAAAAAAAATCCTACAGTGGAAGTAACAGACAACAAATTAAAGCAATTCAATAAAATAAAAAAACAATTCAATTCCAACATAATATATATTTTAGAAATTGGCATGTAATACACAACCTCAAAACATTTAGAACATGACATAACCTCAGAAAATATCCATATGACACAGTTTTAAATGTCCTTTTACCAGCTCAGACCAGTGAAGAAATATTCACTGTCCCACAGAACCAAATCCAACAACAGAAAGCCAAGAACCCTGAGCACTCTGTTGGACATCAACCTCTCTACTGAGGTGAAAGGAAAAGCAGTTGTCTGGTCTATAGGCTACTAATTGGTAGGTGACAGACACAATTGTAGAGTTGAAAAACCAGCTTGACCTGATCTGAGCATAAAGGTGTTCTGTAACTCCACATAGCAGGACATCACAACAAAGGGAAAGTACAAGACCAAGGTACTGCAGAGTTCACAGCTTGCGGAATTTACCACAGAAAATCATTTTAACTGTCCCTCAGATATCTAGTCATTTACCTATTAAACTATCATCCTGAAGTACATAACACTTCAACATGACATGACGTTAGCATAAAATTGGTGGAAAAGAACTGCTTATCAGTCTAGTCTCTGTGAAGATATCTCCAATCTTTCAACTCATGTTAGGACTGGCTAAAGAAGCAAACCCAGTTACTCTCACTTGGTATCCAAAATACCACAAACGCACATGAAAGTTACATAAGTCAAGTCACCTTTTTTATATAGCGCTTTATACAATACAGATTGTGTTAAAGCAGCTTTACAGTGTTAAACAGGAAAAACATGTGCTGAAAATGCAAGAGGACAATACTAAACAGTACATTTTTCAGTTAAAGTCAGTTATAACTATATATAGGTGAACTATGTGGTATGTGGTTCACCTATATAAAAAAGTACAGTTGACCACATATGGTTTAGTATGTATTTTGTAATCTCATCTCCAAGAATGCTTCTGAAAATATGAATATTAAATGTGTAAATTAATGGCATGTTATCCATTTTCCAGAGTAGTTATAGTAACGACAAAAATTTTATTTAACTGGAAAACTCATTTTAAATATCCAACGAATAGGCTATATGTTCACTGTGAAATAGTATAACTTGTATGTTGTCTTCCAAATAAATGATTACTCACTTTAGCATTCATTAACCTAATATACAATATATATACAAAGGTTTGGGGTCAGTAGTAAGATTTTTAATATTACAAATAAATACTTTTGATTCAGCAAGGATGCATGAAATTGCTCAAAAATGACAGAAAAGACTTACATTGTTATAACAGATTTCTATTTCAAATACATGCAGTTCTTTTGAACTTTCAATTCATTAAAAAACCTGAAAAGATCTCTGAAGGATCATGTAAGACAGAAGTAATAGCTAAAATATACTGAAACAGAAGAGAGTGTTTTTTTTATTGTAATAATATTTCACAATATTGCTGTATTTTTAACCAAATAAATGCAGGTTTGGTAAACATAAGAGACTTTAAAAATCTTACCGACCCCAAACTTTTGAACAGTAGTGTTTTTTGTTGTGTGCTGCGGCTTACAGAGTAATACTTGTAAAAAAAAAATGGTAAGAAAGGTTTCTATAGCACCAATTGGATGGATGGCATTACAATGTTAAAAAAAATACTGGTTATCTATTCCGTCCTCAAAGAATTACATCAGAAACATAAACAGAACAAATGTTCATCCACCTGGAAACTATTCCCTCCTCAAACAGACAACTGAGACAACTTTACAGCTCAAACAACATTTTTTTCCCTGGAGGAATTCATGTAAGTGCTAAAAAGTAGCTAAATTATGAGCTTACTGTTTCTGCTTTTAAACCCACCAGTCCCAACAGCTGCTAGCACTGTAAGCGTATTACAGTAACTGCATTTTATATTTGTTGTAAAGAGCAAAGGGATGAGTCAAACAATTATGTATGCTAATTAACAGCATCCATAGACATTGCTGCAAGTAACAGATAACCAGGAATATGGTTAATCCTTAGAGGATGAGCTGAAATAAACAAGCTGAAGTGTAATCATGCTCACTGCTGTCTGCTTGAGCACAGATCATTAACTCAAAGCTGCTTCAGACACTGCGATACGGAGTTACTGCAGATGTTGCGTAAGTAACTTCCCATGGGGTGAGAATGGGACAAAGGTCACTTCCTTGTTACGCGTGCTTCTTCAAAGAGACATTTACCCCCATGCACCCCTGAAACTGCCCCGCCAACACCCCCTCTCAGGTATTCACCAATCAGATCTCGCTCTGCTTGTCCTGACAGCCCCAGGGAGGATCCACGCTGTTCATGTGCCGGGATAATGCTCCTTTGTTAGAGTTACGCTTTATTTCCTCAAGTTCCACTTCTGTCATTAGAACAGGCGCCTCATGTTAAGCATTCCAGACAAACCGAATCTTCATACTGCTACTTTATTTAAATTTCTCTCTCAATATCAATGAGACAGCCACCTGAAATAAACAGTCAATCACACTCATGTACACAAGTCGCTGATGTAACATTCTAGACAGAACAAAAACAACAGTGAAAAAGACAGGACTAGAAGTCCTGTAGAAAATACAGGAACAAATGTGTTGTGTTCATGCTTTTTAGGGTCATCAGCAGTACTATTATTACTATTGATCTCAAGCTATTTTTCCGTCAAAAGCATGACAATAAGCATTAAATTAAAATACAATATTAAGCTATTAAAACATGAACTTCGACCAATGCTAAAGAATGCTCAATTAAAATAAACCACAATATACATGTGATTCTGTACATGAATAATGAATATTTGGTCACTCCTTACAATTAAATACATTAGCTAACATAAAAAAACAAACAAACAAAAATGTACTTAAATGAAAATGAAAATGGAAAATCTAAAAAAAAAAACTATTTCAATTTTTGTAATATAAACTATAATATTATCTCAGTTAGCTCAGGTTCATTAAATAATATGAACATATACAACTTTTGTTTTTAATAATGTACTAGTAAATGTTAAAATTAGCATGAACTAAGATTAATAAATGCTTTAAAAGTATTTTTCATTGTTAGTTCATGTTTACTAATGTTATTACTATTAGTAATTATTTTTTATATTTTAGTAATTAATTTTAATAATTAATTTTTTTAATGTAATTCATTTTAGCAAATGGTTCAGGGTTAGTACCAAGTTATTACCTAGTTATTGTAATTACTATAATAAATACATAGTACGTACATGAGTTACAAGACTGTAAAATAAAGTGCTACCTTAATATCTATGCGATATAGATGTAAATATTGGTATTATTAACATTATAACATTTTATAAGTCAGTCCATAAGTGTACAGGGGGTCCCTGTGTCATCAATCTGTCCACTAAGAGGTCCTTATCCTGAAAAAGACTGAAGACCCCTGATCCTAATTCACAGACTGAATCACCAAAATGTGCCAAATCTTCAAAGAGCATGTTATTCTTCAGGAAAAAGGGTAAGAAATTATCAAATGGAGCAGGGAACTTGATTTGAGCTTCAAAGCAGAGGGAACAGCAGACACATTGCTTTGTTGATGGAGAAATTAGGTTACAGGAAAACAGAGAAGCTTGAGGGGGCAGTATATCGCTCACACACACAATACATACTCACAGACAGACACAGCATTTGATATTTTTCACTAACAATTATGCTTTGAAAAAAAAAAAAAAACAGTAGATTGTATGAAAGATAGGAAAAAAGGGACAAAATGGGAAAATGTAACAGTAAAAAAAGGTTACAGTTTTTACTGATGTCAAAAATATCATTTTTTATAAAACAACTGCAACCTGACTGCATGAGGTTGAACTAGAGAAAGTCATTTTGAAGGGTCAGTCAAAAAAAGCTCCTTGAGGTGTTCCTGCAGCGCGACTCATGGAACATGGCGCTAGCAACACCAAGGACATGGGTTCAATTCTTAGGCAACAAATGCACTGATAAAATATATACCCTACATGCACTGTTAATAGCTTTGGATGAAAGTATATAACAACTGCACATTTTCACTTTTTACAATTTAAATCAACCTCCAAAAGAACTCACTGAAATGACAACACTGCAAAAATCATCAATGCTTTTGCATTTAACACAAAACCCAGTTGTCTGTAGATAACCGTCAGCTGAGTCACACATCACACCCCTGAGCTCATCTGAGATCTCCAGGATTCCGATCAGTGAACCGTTACATTAAATACCAGAGTTCAGATGATAAGACCCACATTAAATTCCACCAACACACAAAACTCAATCATAATCATTAACCCAGACACACAACACACAACTCCCACAAGGCAACATACATAGACCCACATGCTTCCACACACTGCGAAAAGAAAATTCAGCTGAATGCATCTGCATACATTCCAGTGTGTTGAGTTACGCACCTGCGCCATCACAACAGCGAATCTTTCCCAAAATCCAACTGAGACAAACTCCACAAGAGCAACATGACCTCCCGCTCCGCATGCTGCTCGCTCACTGTCTCATATGTGCGTCAGGTGAGAGACAGAGGAGGAGAAATGGAGAAGGACGTATTGGGAGGTGAAGGACGCTTTGGCTCTGTCCGCTTCAATACTGAAGCTCAGCTAGAAGTTCAGCGCTACTCT